AAATAATATGTACAAAATCTGATTCCCAACAATAAAAGAAAATATAAACCAAGTAAGTGTTGTGGAAGACAATGTTTTCAGCTTGAAACATAGAAAGAAGCGGGCCAAGGGACCAAAAAGAACAACAAAGGAAAGTGTAAACAAGGGAGGTGTTTCTCCAAATACCATAAAATAAAATAAAATCGAAACAAACAAGCACAAACCCCCAACTAGAAACGGAATCACAAATGATCCTCTAGGGGACAGGTCAGTGCCCCTAGAAGAAGGGTCAGCAGGGACACGTGGCTCATCTCCATCTCTCACTGGGCACAGTACTGTTATTGCCTTTTTCACCCAGAAAGCCTTCAAGGGCACTATCTCCTCTGCAGTGCCCTGGTCCATGAAGAGAAGCAGATCCTTCTCCAAGTCCTCACAGCTCACACAGGCCCAGGCCTGGATGATTTAACCCAGTCGGCAAGAAGGACACAAACACTATGAAGATGGAAAATCCAGATGCCTGGCACAACGGGCTGAACATAAGCCTGTCTTGAGCATGTGGTCTGTGGCAGGTGCACCACTTTCCTGGTTCCTAATATAATTTTTCATATCTGCAAACGATGGGGTGCCTCTATGCACAATAAGAGTTCTCAAAGCTCAGGACAAAATGAAGACGTATGAGGGGGACCCCAAAAAACTGAAATTAGTTTTTGGAGGGCAGGCCCCTTATAGAACAGGTTTCTCCTGCTATGCAAATGTTCTAGGAGCCCATCGGCATCTGTGTACCAGCTAGTGTTGTTGTGTGAAGTTGTGTTTGGCTTCAGTGAACTATTTTTGGAGATTCTTTCAACATGTTTGCCAATTTCATGATGGGTGATTTACGAGCACATTAGCCCATACTATGCTGAGTGTTCAGCAGTTTTTGACCCCAAACAGCATGACATCTATGTCCCACCTTCCTTATTCACCCGATCTCACCCGAAACAGCAACATTTTTTTTTCTTGGTTTCCCCAGATGAATAAAGTCCTCAAAGGAAAACGTTTTGCTGATGTGGAGGAGATGAAACGAAAAAACAGCAGAAACACTAAAAGGTATCAAAATCGATGAGTTCAAAAACTGTTTTGAGAAGTGGAAAAAGCATCTCATTAGGTGTATTGCAGCAAACGAAGAGTTGTTGGAGGCGACTGAAGTTCAGACATGTGAGAATCAATGCACAATTTTTTATAAATAAATTCTGGGTTTTTTTGGGGTCCCCCCTCATAGTTCTTTCTTCCACTCACACAGGTCTGGTTTATGCTTTGAACCGAGTAAGCTGACCCTTACCGCCTATTCTGAATGTCAACGTCAGAATACAGCAGAGAAGACAAAACTCATGTACAAGCAAGATGCATGTGCCTGGCACCCTGGGGTTGTCTTCTGGATGCAAAGCCTTCCCTCCTTTCCTTGCTGCCAGCTGAACCCCTGATGAGCCCATCCATCCGTCAACGAGTGATGCTAGCAAGCAGGCTTTCAGCTCATGCTGAGGTGATGGATGGGAAGTTCAGTGCCATGGCCCGTAAGAAGAGCAGTTCTGCCCTCAAGAAACCCATATCCTTTCTGAGGAGACAAGACCAACCCACAGAAACTAAGACAGAAATTAGAAAACCACAACTCTAGCAAACGAACTTTGGCTAAGGTTTGAAAGGCAGGTGGCAGCAGAGCTAGGGTCTGGAATGTCTTTCTGTGCAGAACTGGGAAGGCCAGTTCTTTCCCAGGGAAAACTCTCATCCTGCTCCTGGAAGGGGTTGTTGTGATGGAAAACGGGGCCACTGCTCAGGGGCATCACTGGAATCTGATAGCAGGTCCCTCATGGGCCCTGGGAAGGCAGGGAAGGATCTAGTTGCAGGCAGGGTCCCCAGCTGTGAGAAGCTCCCTGAGAGAAGCAGGCTGCCGTGAGGGCTGGGTGATGTGTGATTGGGAGCTTGTGTGTGTGATGGATTGCATCCACTGAGCTTCAGTCCCCGCTGTCTGAAGGGAAATGGCTTAGAACAGGTATGAGAATCCCAACTGCCAAACTGAGTTTGCTTGGTGACTCCAGATGCTTGTGAGAAGTCAGTTTGGGAGGAGCTTCTGTTCTTTTGGAGAATTGCATGGAATTACATCTGGCAAATGCATGCAGCCCCCTCTCAGCTGGGCCCAAGGACCTTGAGGCTCACTGTCACTCTTCACCCTAGCCTCAAAAGCTAAACCACCTATGCTCTGCTACCCTGGTTCTTTTCAATCTTGCTTCTCACATCTCCCAGACTCAGCCCTCTCTGCATGCCAGAATGCTTTCCTTATACTGCTTTCTGGTGCCCTGAATGGCCTCCCCTCTCGTGTGCTCCTCTCTTGTCTACAAAGCGCAAGATTCACACCTGCTCCAAGAAAAAGCAACACTTTCCCCTTGGGCACCTGATGACTTTCACAGTAAGGGGCAGCAGCCCACATCATCTGCAGGTAGCAAAGAAACCAGTAAAGTATGGATCACTTCAGATTGCTCTACAAAACTGGGGAAAGGGTTGAACAAGAGACACACATCTGGACCAGTTGTGGTTAGTTCTTCCCTGGAGAAAGGTGCACTCCCAGTTAAGAGGCTGCAGCCCTGACCAGTGGCAGAAGAGAGGACAGGCCCCAGTGGGTCAGAGTTGAGTGTTGCCTAAGTGTAGGAATGGAGTGGATTTGCACACCTGAAGGAGGAGAGAGGGTTCCTCTCCAGGTCTGGGGGCTCAGACAGGGATGGCAGGAAGGCACTGCGGCCACTGCTACGCATATCAGAGTGTATGGAGGGCCTGTCCATGATCTGAAAGCTCCTGGGGGCAATGACTAAGATAGGGACTTAATGGTTGTATATAGGAGTCAGTTGGAGGAGGGAGAGTCGCGATGCAGAACCCAGTGTCAGCTCTGCCACCACCAGCTGGCAATCCTAGTCATGAAAGCCATCATGCATAGTCAATTCTGGTGTCACACATATTTAAATCACTTTGCCTGACATGATGAGATGATGCAAGGGGTTGTCTCGTCCCTCTTTTCTTTGTTCCACAGAGAGGTCCATTTCTTACTAAGGTCTCACGGACCATTCCTTCATCCACTCAACACTCGCCTAGTGCCTGCATTGTGCCTGTGCTGTGCACTGGAGACACAAAAGCGAATGGGCAAATGGGCATCATCCTCACCCTAGAGGCACTGGCTGTCTGGAACTGTAAATGGCAGAGTGCACTATAGGGCAGAAGCCCAATTCATTCACACACAGAATTGAACGTTGTGACCAGGTTTCTCCTTGCGTATATTTAACATATACAGATTCTGTTAGGAAATTACATTTAAATATAGGAATACAAAAGTAATCACAAATCGCAGTTGCCTCATTTGTCAAAGACAAGAAAACACCAGGACTATTATCCAGAGATGGCTCTGTGTGCTTTTCCCACTTTAAAATCTCACCGTGAGCATATTCTATGCTGAGAAAGCTTTTGTGTTATTTCCAGACTTTCTCTTCAAAGGCCACACCTTCACTGGAGCTAAAACTTATAAGTTAAAAATGAAACAAGGCAAGTTCTTCTTTACTCAGACAGCTTTTCACTCACTCATTCATTCATTCAATGACTATTTCTTGAGCACCTCCCATTGGTGCCAGATTCTGGGTTAAGCCTGAGAAATTCAATGGTAAACAAGAGAGAATCCTGTCCACGGTGTCCTCAGGTCTAGTGAATTGCCCCAACCAGAGCTCAGGCTCCCTGAGGCTGGGAACACAGAGTTTCCCACTCTGGCTTGTCCCTCTTTCTATGTCTCTTGCTTGATCCTAAACAGCCTGACACAAAAATGACTTTACTTTGTTCTTTACCTCTCATGTGTCTTACCTGTGTTTCCTCTACTGAGCATTTCATCCCTTCTACTTTGTTCAAAGGCTTTGTGCCATGCTGCCCTGCCAATCTCACCCTGGTGAATTGGATTAGGAATTACTGACTAAAAGGCAGTCACACAAAGTCTACATGGTGTTCTGGCATCAGTCTTCCCAATAGGGATATGAGAGACTAACAGAATCTCTCTAGGGGAATTTAAGAATGAAAGATATCAGAAAGAAACATAGAGACAGAGACCGAGATCCAGAGAGAGAGAGAGAGAGAGAGAGAGAGAGAGAGAGAGAGAGAGAGAGAGAGAGAAAGACTTAAAGACACCAAGAGAAGGCAATAATCAGAAGTAATACATCTCATGAGTCAAGGGTAAGCGGTAGCCTACAGCATCTTCAACACATGACATAAAAAACAGGGAGTAGTTGGGTAACCAAGATGGCAGCACAGAGAAAACTAGCATCCCTGCTCAGTCCCCAGACCTACTGGTGTCCCCACTAGAGCTATTATAATTATTCCAAAAGCCACTCAATTCTTTGTAAGATCCACGCAGTTGTTCTTACTTCCTTACTATCCCTTAGCTCAGTGATAAACCCCATCATTTAATAATGAGCTGGTCATTTGCTCATTTTTGCATCCTACAAGATCTAAACAGACACAAAAATCCATCTCCATCCAAAGCCATTGCTTCTCCATCCACAGGGTCAACATTTTGGAAACCCCTAGTCTAGAGGCTGGATTCTGGATCTCCCACCTCTGCCTGTGAGCACAAGGAATAGGACATCCTTCCCCAGGTGTTGAGCAATGATGCAAAACTTGAAATGCATCAGCTAGACTCAGCACCCTCAGAGACAGTGAATTGCTGCCAATTTCTCCTGAGTGCTGTGAAATAATTACTATTGATTCAAAGATGTCATGAGATTTTAGAAAGAGAGCTCTGAACAAACTAGGCACATGATGGTAGACGAGATGCCTCTGACATTCTCGGCTGTATAATGGGGATAATAGATCACAGAAGAGTTGTGGGAATACACAAGTTAGCTTATTTCTTGCAGCAAAGTGACTGAACTTAAAATTGTTCTCCTGTTGTGAGCTGTGACAATTTGAGGCCAGGCCACACTGCCTTCACACAACAAGACTGATAAAACCAGGCCCACCTTGCCAACCGGGCTTGCAAACTGGCTTCACGTCTACTTGCACCAGGGTGTCCTGAGCGGCAGGCTTCTGTCCACAGTCGTAGGCCGTCACCAGGATCTCATACTGGTGCTGCTTGTCATAGCTCAGCTTCTCAGTGTTCCTGATGTTACCTGAGGAACAGAGATGTTCAAAATCATTTTAGGTCAATTTAACCACTGCACGTCTTCAAAATCCCTTCTCCACTCCAACAACCTTCACAAGAATGAAGTGACCCTTTTCCTTATCTCTGGGTGAAAACAAGGGCAAACAGGAGTGTGGCTTCAGCTTCTGGCCCGCTTGTGCTTTGGTGGTAGATTCCTGGGAACCACTGGCTAGAGCTGCCTCAGCTATGCAGCGGGACAGCTAGGGAATTCCAAGCACACATCTGGAATCCAACTGGCTTGTATTCATGGGTAATGGATTGCTAGAAAACTTCCTCTTAAAGCGCACCCATGTGGCCGTGTCCCTGATGGAGGGCACAGAGCACTCATTGGCCAGGAAATCTCTGGGAAAAAGATGAAATTCAGAAAATGTCCTGATACATATTTTTTAACATCTGGGCTTGTCGCCAGGAATGTTCACTGCCTCTTCTCACATTATTTTGCTACCAAATAGGAAGTAAAATCAATAGGAAAACGTGTGACCTCCCTTCTGAAAGCCACACAGAATAACAGATTTCTTGCCCTGAAGAAGAAGATATTTTTCTTCTCCAAGAGAGAACAAACAATTTTCTTTTTCTGAGTCATTTTTTTGTGTGTGTTTTTGATCCTGTGTTTTTGATCCTAGGTTTGCTGTTACGATTCAGAAATAAATATTTGATAATGAACAAACAAAATTTTAGTTGACTATTTTTGCTAAAATACAATTTTGGTTCCAAAGAACTAACAAAGACCCAAAATGCATTAAATAATTTAAAGTTTTTAATTCTGTGAAATTAAAGTCTTCTTTTACTGAGAATAATTTCATTCCTACTTTTTACTTTTTCTGACAGTAAATCAGAACTCAAACATTATCATATTTACTAGAAATGAAATTCTTTAAAAATTTTAAAAATCAACAGATAAGCAGAAAATAGCTGACTCAGATATAGTTTTATTTTTCATCCAAACTAAAAAAAAAAAAAAAATGACTTGAATGACTGGGCACAGTGGCTCATGCCTATAATCTCAGCACTTTGGAAAGCGGAAGTAAGAGGATTGCCTGAGCTCAGGGGTTCAAGACCAGCCTGAGCAACATGGCAAGAACTTGTCTCTACAATAAATCAAAAAATCAACCAGGTGTGGTGGCACATGCCTGTAGTTCCAGTTACTTAGAAAACTGAGGTGGAAGGATCACCTGTACCCAGCAGGTCAAGGCTGGGGTGGCCATGAGTATGAAACTGTACTCCAGCCTGGGTGACAGAGTAAGACTCTGACTCAAAAAAAAAAAAAAAAAAAAAAAAGACAATGACTTGAATGAGCTTTCTTCCATTTTAACTGATATATATTGTTCATGTAAATATGGACAACGTTGAAGAAAACCAGAAAACCTGGCAAATTAGAAAAGCCAAATAACACTTGAAAGACTGGAAAAACGGATCCATTACTTACCCAATATCAGTGAAACAATACTCAGTATTAGGTCATGAGCAGGTGCTACCTACATGTCTGTATGAGGGTGGGAGGTGGGGAGAGTGGAGACCGACTGATGCCCAGGAGGGAACATGAAGCTGCCCAAAACATTGGATCAAGAATTAGAATAATGTATTCTGCTATCTTCTCTGGGCTGTTTCCGAAAATGCAACTGCACCCACCAAACTGAGACCAAATTTAGTTTCACGAAGTCAGTCAAAAATCTCTGAATCAAAATGGGTTTGATGTATTTCTGGCTTTGTGGCTGACTTGCAGAATCGCTTTCATTTCCCCCTAAATATTTGTCTCACTCTCCTTTCTAGGGGCCTACACAGGACTGGAACAGTTCAGTATTGGGTTGGTAACACTTCCCTGTGAAATCCGCTAACAAACTTGTTTGTGGTTGTAGTCATCACGGGAGAAATTCTCTCACGTAGGGAAGCGTTTTAAGATAACCGTGAGAAGTGTGTTTCTATAACATCACATTAAGTTTTGAACAAAAATTTATTTAATGTTAAATGGCTCTCAAAAGATACGCTTCTTAGAAGGGGAAGGCTCAGGGTTTATAATCCGTGTGACATTTAGCAGACCAAACACTACTGGGGTAGAAAAATAAACACATAAGCTGACTTCTTGGCTTGATCCGTTGCAGCTCCACTTCTGTAACAAAACTTAATGAAACTGTCTGAGAAACTAATTTACTTTCTCCACCACCGCCCACTTTGTGCATGTGAAAATGAGTTTCAAAGCACAGAATTTCAAGTATTCGGTCAAAAATGAGAATATAATATTGTGACCAATTGTTGCATGGGAGAAGGTCATATTTGGATAAGACACACATTTAAAATGTTTTGAAAACTCAGAGAAAGCCATCCACTTTGCTTCTGCTACAATTGTATCTTTTGCTCCCCTATTTGAATGATTTTTTTTTTTTTTTTTGAGTTGGAGTCTCACTCCGTCGCCCAGACTGGAGTGCAGTGGCCGCTCCCGGCCACCGCAGCCTCGACCTGCTGGGCTCAGGTGATCCTTCCGCCTCAGCCTTCCAAGTAGCTGCAACTACAGGCGCGCGCTACCACGCCCGGCTGATTTTTTATTTACTGTAGAGATGAAGTCTCGTCAAGTTGCCCAGGCGGGTCTCGAACCCGCGGGCTCAGGCAATCCCCTCACCTCAGCCTCCCAAAGGTGCGGGATTACAGGCTAAGCCACCGAACCCAGCTTGAATGATTTTTTTCCTACTAGTGCCTTCTCAGGAAATCTGAACTCACAGTAAACTGAGGGGGAACATTAGTCCCTAGACTTATTTCTCCAGGTCCAAGTAAATCTGGGAATCTTACCCTCAAAGAGCAATTAGTACCTACTTTGAATATTAGTGAAGGTATTAAAAAAAAAAACACTCTGGGGGAGTAGGGATTTGGGGGGGATGAGATAAACACATTGACCAGTACCCTCCTTCTGGTGAAATTTAAATGGGAAAAGCCTTTTCAGAAAAGCTACTTGGTAATATATGCCAGTCACTTTGAAACTGTTCATACCAATAAGATAGACAAGTGGGACCTCATTAAACTGACAAGTTTCTGCAAAGCCAAAGAAACCATCAAGAGAGCAGAGAGACAGCCCACAGACTGGAAAAAAGTCTTTGCCAACTCCAGGTCTGACAAAGGCTTAACATCTTGGATCTACAAGGAACTCAAATGTGCTGAAAAGAAAAAAACAAACAACCCCATTATAAAGTGGGCAAAAGATATGAACAGACACTTCTCAAAGGAAGACATCTGAGTAGCCAACAGACACATGAAGAAATGTTCAATGCCACTAATCATCAAGGAGATGCAAATCAAAACCACACTGAGATACCACCTAACTACAGTCAGAATGGCAATTATCAATAACTCAAAAAATAACAGTTGCTGGAGAGGGTGTGGCGAAAAGGGAACACTCCTACACTGTTGGTGGGAGTGCAAACTGGTGCAACCTCTGTGGAAAGCAGTGTGGTGATTCCTAAAAGCTCTAAATATCAGCCTCCCATGTGATCCCGCAATCCCCCTACTGGGAATATACCCTGAAGACCTCAAATCACTCTATAAAAAAGATACCTGCACACATATATTTATCACAGCATTGTTCACAATAGCAAGAACCTGGAACCAACCATACTGTCCATCAAAAGAGGACTGGATTAAAAAACTGTGGTACATATACACGATGGAATACTATGCAGCCATAAAAAGAACAAAATCATGAACTTTGCAGCAACCTGGATGGAACTAGAGTCAATAATACTGAGTGATCTCTCACAGAAACAAAGATCTGAGTATCACATGTTCTCACTCATATAGCGGATCTTGAACACCCATCCTAATACTATAAAAAAAGGACTGACAGTGGTGGGAAACTATGGGGGGGGAGGGGAAGGGAGGTGGGATTAACGGTAGTCAATATCTGTCTGGGGACGGGGAGACACCCCTTATCAACAAGGGTGCTTGAACGAAGCATATTTGTATACCTAACCCTTAACTGTACCCCACAATATCAAAATAAAAAATATTGATATAAAAAAAAGACACTGCTCATACCTTTTAGGCATGCAATTCCTCATTTAAAAAATGATTCTAGAAAAAGGACAAAAATTGTAGATACGTGTGCAAATATGTTCATTTAGCTATTATTTATCACATTCTAAAATAGTCTGATAGTAAGGAAGGAGCTAAGACCCAAGTCAGGCCCAAACTTTACCTGTGCAATGACCATTCATATACCTAATCCAGAATTGTACTCCACATCTTTAAAATAAATACATTTTTTTAAAAAGTCTGTGCATAAGATCGAATTTGTTCAGCAGTAAAAGTGGTGATTATAAGGCCTTTTTAAGAATGGGGGAAATACAGATAATCAAATGTTAAGTGAACAAAGGGAAGGTGAAGCAAAACAAGGATAGTAGCCTTAATTTGGTTTAAAAACTTCATAGAAAAAATATTGGAAATATGGTAAGCTGTCAATAGTGGTTATCTTTGGTAGGATGAAAAATGACGAAGGAATTATTTCCTTCTTCATACTTTTCTGTGCCTTCCAAATTTCCCACACAAGGTATGCATTACTTTTCTGTTTATTTATTTTTATTTATTTATTTTTTTTTTGAGTTGGAGTCTCACTCTGTCTGTCGCCCAGACTGGAGTGCAGTGGCCCAGCTCCCGGCCACCGCAGCCTCGACCAGCTGGGCTCCAGCGATCCTTCCGCCTCAGTCTTCCAAGTAGCTGGAGCTACAGGCATGCGCTACCACACCCGGCTAATTCTTTGATTTATTGTAGAGATGAGGTCTCACCAAGTTGCCCACGCGGGTCTCGAACCTGCAGGCTCAGACAATCCACTCACCTCAGCCTCCCAAGGCGCGGGATTACAGGCTGAGCCACCGAGTCCGGCTACTTTTCTGTTTAAATGGGAAAGAAGAGTTTTCATACACTTTAAGGATAAACTGACTTTAGGACACACTTCGCTCAGAAGCACTGGTGTCCTGTTATTCACAA